ATATATAGCTATTCATGTATAGTTCTCTAGCATTTATTAAATTCGTACTGTAAAACAGACATTGTTCAAAGAACTTTACATGTATCACCATATTAAACATCATAAGATCAGATGACAAACCATTATCCCCATTTTATTGGTGAGAAAAGTGAGTCACAGAGAGGTTAATCAATTTGCTCAAGATCAGAAAGCTAGTGGTTCGTGCTCAGAAAAGGGAGAGATTCTCTCCCTTTTCAACCAACAGTTTTATTTAGGGTCCCTGCATGGAGCAAACGATTATCCAGTGGACTGTTAACTGAAAGATTAGTGGTTCAAAACCACCCAGAGGTGCCTCAGAAGTAAGGCCTGGCAATGTGATTCTGAAAGATTACAGCCTTAAATGTCCTATGGAGTGCAGTTCTCCTCTGCACACTTGGGGTCGCAGGGAGTCAGGATTGACTCCATGACAACCAACAACAGCAACACCATGTGCCATTCACTGTGAAGTTCTGGGGATCATTTTAAAAAAAGAAAACAACAAGCAGAACCTCCTGCCCTTCTGGAGGTGTTCATTATCTGTTTAACCTATATTTAAACTCAAACATATTCATTTTAGATATAATTTTTTGCATTTATGTGATAATTATAAAGCCCTCTGTTCTTTACTGCCTACCCTTTATGGAAAGAAAAAAAAAATCTGAAATGTGAGTTTCTTCAGGGCTGGTAAATACCATATACATTTTGTATTCCTTGCCAGTGTCACAAGATAGCAGATTTTCATTGTAATTTTGTTGAGTGTTTAAATAGATCCTTCTTTCAATGTAGAGGTTAGATTTTCTTTTTTTAATTTTTTTGTTTGTTTTTTGGGACTTCTTCAGTGATTCAGGTGGGATTAGCATTCATAAGGCTTATTCTTTTAAAAGTTGGCCTGGGAATATTTAAATAATACTTGCGAGTTTGCTGTATGATTTACTTAATCAGTAGATAATATCAGAGATTTTCTCTTTTCATTTCAAGATGTAAAAAATAAAATTACTGCAAAGCATGCTGTTATTAAGAATATGCAGGCTTATAGAATGTTTGAAGTAACTAATGGAAAAGGAAGTTATAATTGTACTTTGGGGCACAAATATAGATCGAAAAGTCTCTTCTTGTTTTCATCCATTGTTTTAAACTTTATGAGCTGTGACAAGATCATGGGCAGTATTTTAACTACAGGAAAGTTATATGATTTTACTATTAATTTTAATGTAGACTGCACAAGTAAGATTGCAATCTGAAATTTAATCTTATGAATGCTCCAAGGGAAATTAAAATACTTAAGATTTCTCATAAAAAATATAAAATCTATAAACTACACACATTGTCATAGATTCAAATGAATCAGCATTCTTTTCCTACTAGAAATACATTAAAATAATTGCTTGAATTATCTTACTTAATTTTAAATATTTAACACAGTAAAAATCATGTGTTATTTTCATGTAACATCTCAATCATATGCATCCATTTAAGGTAATATGTCTCTTTTAATTTCGATACTGTATCTTCTAAGAAAAGTGCACATTGAATTGATGCTCTCCAACAAATTTAGAAACTTTCTAGTTGACTGCACATGCATACCTTTTTTCCTCCTAAATTTTTAATGTATCATCATGCTCATATAATTTATTTAAAAAATTCAGACTTCTAATTTTTTATGTCCCTAAAAATATTATTACTATTATTTATATCATAGTTATTTAAATGCATGCAGTAAATATTTTGTGCTTTTTAAATATTAATGAAGAGATCAGGGAAATATTAGCAAGATAAAATTCAGTGTGCCAAATATTATTTTAATTTATCCAGAACATACTGTTTGAAAACCTAGATCATTATAGTAGACTCTGTGAGAAATATTTAGAAAGATCTTTCATGTTTCAAATTCTCAGAGTATTACAATTTTTCTTTGGTAAGGTGGTAGAGGACCTGAGCCTAAAGAATGCCTGTAATTTGAATAGTACATGAAAGGACCAAAAACTTTCAAAATTAGGAGATAAGTGTGATTAAATATTCGGAGGCAAAGGTTGTGTTAAGATTAAGGTGAGAATTAGGGTTAGGCATACTGTGGTAGAGGAAGAGTGAGAAATATATTTTATGAGAAAATAATTTTCACATTAGAATGCTAAAATGTAAAGCAAGCCAAATACTGTGAGTATGCGCATTTGCCTATTTTTGTGGGAAAATCAGGCCTAAGTATATTCTCAAAAAGATGCATGGACCAAAACTATTTCAGAATTCTGCCTATATAAGAAAGAAACTTTTCATATCAGAGCTATAACATGATGAAAAGTCCCTTAGTATCTCAGGGGGCACAATCTGTGGGTTAGTTATCAAAACTGAAAAGAATTACGTGTTGTTGTTGTTATTGTTGAGAAATAACAATAAACTTAAACAATAGTTACACAAGACAAAAATTGTAATAACTTTTATAGCAAAGTTCATATCGGGTAAATAAATGCTGGAGAATGACTCTTTGGACAAAGGAGATAAGGACCACCATAAATTGTTTGAAGTTTTCTCATTTTAGAGAGTGTTCAACCAATGGTGAGCTCGTTCTGATAAAAGTGGCCTTAAGTGCCCACATTTCTTCTGTTTATTAACCACACAATATGTATGAATTATATGGGTAGAAGCCATGTAATGGAAAAAAATTCTCACTATTTATGAATAGTGTAGGGAAAAAACAACAACAACAACTTTGTAGTGGAATCAGGTCACATCAGCTAGACCCTGAGCCTTAAGGCCTTTACCTGAGAAAATATGCAAATCATACAGGAATTAAAGTACATAACATATCCAAAATTACCACATTAATTATTGAGTAGTAGGCTCAATACTTGCAAAATTGTAAGTTCTCTAAATATTATTTCATCCCTTCCTTCTTGTGATTCTCCCCTTTTTCTTCCAGTCTCATAGCTGTCAACCTCAACATAGTCTACTGTGATATCTTCTTCAGGTCATGGTCAAACATCGGAGTTTAAATTTAAAAGGGAAATTCAAGAAAGATATCATGGCCTGAGAGATCAAAGTTACATCTCCTCTTGTATAGCTAATTACAAATAAAATAGCTCAACACTGGAGTTGAACACTTATTTGTGATTTGATAACACTAACAGGCAGTAATCCTTTTCTGAGGTTTTACAAATCAAACGTTAAAACAATGTAATACAGTCACCTTGTATGCCCATTGATCCTGAATAAATTTGCATTTCAGACAAGTGATGATTTCTATTTAGGGATGTTAATGTTAACCTGAATGAACCGGAATAACTCTGGTCACATTTTATATTGACTTCTGTTGAACATTGTCCTATTCCTTTCAGTTTTTTAGGGCTACACTTCTTAAGTATAAAACATTTAGAGGATTCTACTCCCTTTTTTTTTTTTGTTTTTAAGAGGACTCTACTTTTGTTTTTTTGCACTGGTCTCTTAACTCATCAACAGATGTCTGCCACCTGGCTAACGGTTATACCACTTGTGGTTGACTCTTTTCCATATAAATATTTTGATACTATTAAATCATAAAGAAGATATGTTGACAGAAGGTAGGTATTTATTATCTAAAAGACACAAACTGCAATTTTCTTGTATAACAGTAGCTTTCTCTTCAGAATTTGGAATATTTGATTGGTAAAAGTTTAATATTCACACAACCTTTCTTTAAATAATTATTATGCAATATGAAGAACATTTTGTGGGTTTGTTTTTTAAACATCTACTTATAGCCCCCAAATGCCACTTTTTGTTTATATCCAGTTCAAATTTCACAATTTATTTTACCCATAATTTGGTAAACCCAAAAAAACAACTATTCCCATCAAGTCGATTCTGACTCATAGCAACCTACAGGAAGGAGTAGAACTGCCCCACAGGGTTTTCAAGGAGCTGCTGGTGGATTCTAACTGCTGACCTTCTGGTTTGCAGCCTGAGCTCTTAAAAACTTATTCCTGTCTCCTAAGTTTAAGATGGAGCCCTGGTGATGAAGTGGTTAAGAGCTCAGGCTGCTAACCAAAAGGTCAGTAGTTCAAATCCACCAGCTGCTCCTTGGAAACCCTATGGGGCAGTTCTACTCCATCCTATAGGGTCGCTATGAGTTGGAATCTACTTCAACGACACACAACAACAAGTTTAAGATATATAATAATTAAGAAAAAGCTAAAACAGTGGTTCAGTTAGTCCTAAAAAAGAAAATGAGAGACCAAATCACTTTTTTTTATGTTACTTTTATATTATCCTCTATAGTTTCAACTTTATATCACCTCCATTTATTTTAGTTGCTTCATTGTTCAGATAACTGACCAACTAAAAAAGTAGTCAGACTATGTAGCTTGTGATTTTAATCAGAAAAAAAAAAGTCAGGGAATTAAGTAGTAAATTTACTTGTACTCCTTATTGAATGACTATGTCATTAAAATTGAGTAAGTAGTGAATTTAAAGAAATTCCAAGTTGAGAGCCACTGGTAGTCATTGATGTCCTCATTAGAGAAGAGCAGTAGGTGACTTTCTGGAGAAAGCACAGGGTATAGAATCTAAGAGGAACAGCTGTTTCCAGTATTTAACAGATTGAATTTTTAGCTACAGTATTAAACAGATACTGTGGTTAGGAGATACTGGTGAGAGGAAAAATATAGTAAAATTGTATAGGAGGTATTTATTGAATATATGTTTTATAAAGCATTCTGAAAAATTGTGAACACTTAAAAAATATAACATCTAAAAATATTAAATTTATATAAATTTTAAATATTTTTTCTCTCATCAGTATTTCCTAACCTCAATATCTGCTTAATATTAGAACTAAGAATTAATCTGTCAAATAGTTGATATAACTGTTCCTCTTTGAGAGCTTACAATTTTCTAAAAGTTACTTTTACATTATTTCCTAGATTGTAAGATTCTACTGTTAAATAAGTGATTGTTAACAGTATCTCTATTTCTATCATTAATAGTAAAATATTTCTTTTCCCATGTACTAGGGTTCACCAGGAGAACGTGGATCAGCAGGTACAGCTGGCCCAATTGGTTTGCCAGGGCGTCCAGGACCCCAGGGTCCTCCTGGTCCAGCTGGAGAGAAAGGTGCTCCTGTAAGTAATTTCAAGGAGAAAATATATTATACTGCTACCCTACACAAGTTATTACTTCTCATTCAAGAATATTAGGTCTTCATACCCTGCGACATTCCTGCTGCAGATGTGCCCGGCATATAAACACACCTCTTTTTATATTTATAATAGAGAAAATTTCAAATTCAATTAAAGGAGATGACATTTTTCCACACTTTATAAAACCCTAATACTTGTGAAGGAGTTGGATATTATTAATGTAAAAGGCTTCTGATTTTGCTCCTTTTAAAATATAAAATTGGAGTTTTGATTAAAACTATACCTTGCTGCTTTATATTAGAAAAGTGTGAACTCTTCACTCCTGTTGTACTACAACTTCATTTCCAGTCATTTCCATAGTCTGTAAATGAAACCCGTAGAAAGTAACTGCCCGTCTTCTGTAATTTGTGAGTGAGACGGAAAACATCTGACCAATTATTTCATCTTATATTTATTAGATTTTTAAAATTTATATTTAAGTGATTACAAACTATATTCTATTCATTGGGTTTATGTTTCTTTCTCAAGATTTTTTCCCCTATTTTTACTCCTAGCTTTAATTTAATCATACTAATTTAAAAAAAAAAAGTCTCTCCTTTCTCCAAGATTATAACACAAACTCATTCAGCAGATGTAGGTAAGAATTGCTGGCCATAATACACCAAAATGTTTAAGTTGAATAATTTTATATACACATAAGTCTTGACATACAAAATTCGGTTTAAGCCTATGATTTTCAAAATACTTCTTTATCACTAAGATTTCTCTTTCAGCAAGTGGATTGCTCTCATTGTCCAGGTATTTTTTCTCGTTATTTTGTCTATGCTATTACTCAAGTGTTTCCAAATTTTTTAAAATTGTTTTCTATAATCCATTACCTGTCAGAAATCAGTTAGAATGTTTGAATGGAGCCATGCCACTGGTGGATAGAATTTTTGAGTGACATAAAAAGCACCTTTAATATGCTGAGAATTTTTAAAGCAATATATTTATTTCCTGCTAAGTAAATTTGTTGAAAATTTAATAGCATTTAATTTTAGATATTATTTTGTGAGATATTAATAATAAGCAACTGGGAAAAGGTTCATCTTTATTTCCCTCTCACAATTTTTACAATTTCCAGTCAAACTCAGAAACTAAAGATGTGCCCAAACAACTTTGTAGTATACTGGACACCAAGAAGGGATGGGTGGGGGGAAGAAAGTTAAGGCCCTTTCCAACAAATTTATTCAAAAATCCAGGGCACCCATATCTTGGCACCACACAATGAAAGATGAATACAGAAAAAAAGGGATATACATTGCTTTTTATACAAATTGAGAATATACCAGTTAGAGAAGTTAAGAGTTATGTGAAGATAACATTGAATGATGAGTTTTAAAGTGGATAAATACCTTGGCTTTATGAAAAAATAAAATACTGAAAATGGAGAACATGGAACAGGATTAAAAGTGATTATAAGAAATGAACTTTCATGAGAAATTATTGATGGAAAATCTTTTAAGAGCTAGGATTTGAGCCTGGGTTTTGTTGGTGATCCATTATAGCTAGGGAAAGGAAAAGGAAATGCCCTGCTCACCCCTTCTCCCTCATTACCACCCCCCCAGATGTTCATTCAATTGTTATTTCTTTCCACAAATAATTATTGAAAATAACTTAGTGCTAGACACTGTATTAGGTAGTTTTTTTTTAGAAAGGTGTCTATTCAGGTACAATAGCATAAAATAGAAATAAAAGTGTGGGTGAATGTGCTTGTCTTAGGGTTCTCTAGAGAAATGGAATAAGTTAGAGAGAGAGGGAGAGAGAAGAGAGATTGTCTTTCTTTGAAGGAATTAGCTCACATGATTTTGGGTTGGCAAATCCAAAATCCGTACGTTAGGCTACAGCATGGAGACTCCTGCAGGCTTGCATCCCAAGATCCATAGGTCAGGCAACCTACAGAGTAAAAAGAAAGAGAGTTTTGCCAAAACACCTATTTATAGTCTGGAGGTAGAACACACCCTAAGGAAACTGCCTTTTTAACTGATTGATTGATTACATTACCTTAGATTACATTATGGATGGTTGTTACATTACACTACATTAAATCATGAAATAACAATTAGACTAGTGTTTGGGTAAACTACTGGCACATAAAATGAACCATTATAGTACCCATAGGCTTATATGTATGTACCATAATTTGTTTATCCATTCATCTGTTGATGGGCATTTAGGATGGTAATATGATCGGATTAGCTGTCTGGTTTCAGTGTGGGGAATAGATTGGAAGGAGGTAAGAAAAGATGTGGAAAAGGTAAGTGGTTATTTTAGCTGTTCAGACAAAGGATACTAGTATTTTGAAATAAGGTGTTAGAGATGGAGGTAAAATTAAATGAACATATTCAAGAGATAATTCAGAGATAAAATAAAACTTAGTCATTAAGAAGGGATTGAGGTGGTGAAGTGGGGTGAGAAGGTAATGCAAATACAGGACCTAATGATTTGTAGATTCCGGTGTTGCATAAGAGAATAAAAGAACCACTGCGTGCAATCAGGAATACTGTCTTGTGCCAAAGTTATGAAATCTTGACTGTAGAGAATATAGGAATTTTTTGAGTGGTTATTTACTACTTCATTTCTTTTTCTTTTCTTAGAAACACTAAACAATTTCCTTGATGAATATGGAAACCAGTGTATGAATGTATGGATGTTATAGCTGCACTGAAAAACTGTAACAAATGGCTAACTTACAGGTTTCTTACAAGAAATTAATGATCTGCTGGGTTTTCAATACAGGGAGAAAAAGGTCCCCAAGGCCCTGCAGGGAGAGATGGAGTGCAAGGTCCTGTGGGTCTCCCTGGTCCCGCTGGTCCCGCTGGCTCCCCTGGTGAGGATGGAGATAAGGTTGGTGTTTTCATTCATATTAGTACATTCAGAAAAAGCTTTTTGTTTGCTTCAGGAATTCTGAATTTATCATTTTTTAGATTAGATGCCAGACCAAAGTGTACACCTTTTTCAACATTTCATACAGTTTTATATTAGAGGTGGAGAATTAGTACCTGTTCCATGAAGTAGTGTGTGATACATAAACAGGAAAATGGAATAAAAGACAATGAAAGGAGATGTCAGTTTGGTTACTTATTTTTTTTAAATATATTGTTCCTGAAATAAACATAAAATGTATCTTCCACTTATATATATTTAGTCTTTATATCTTGGAAGTTGTACAGTAAGATTTAAGAATGAGCTATATACTTATTTCATAACCATGTTCTTCTCTATCTTTCAGTAATGTATAAGACTCTAAGGTCTTACTGTGAATATATGGCTTTGGTGTTAAGTGATTGAATTAAATATGTTTTCAAATATTACTATAGAATTAAATATGTTTTCAAATATTACTATAGAATTAAATATGTTTTCAAATATTACTATAAAATACTGTACACAATTTTGTGGACTGGCACTCTGATAATGTTCTTTGTTTTAGCATTTGGAAAACTAAGAGGAAAACATAACAATTGTTGATTAATATGTAATTAGATTTCTGTATAAATCAATGTATTTTTATTATTATCAGTTTATAGTGGCGATATTTGAGCCCAAATTGTTTTTCTTTATTAAAATCCAATTGCAGTATTCTTCAAAGTTACATTGGATTGAGTTTGTCTGTATATTTGTCAATACTTGAAAGCTGGAAGCAGAGTGGCCCTGCACTTTAAAACAATGATATTTTTAAATGGTGAGATTAAACACTAGCAAATAATTACATTAGAAGTAAAATTAAATACTTTGAAGATAATGATGGAAATGCAATAAGTATGATGTGTTAGAGATAAACTTTTACTGAAATCTTTCAATTATAGGGTGAAATTGGCGAACCAGGGCAAAAAGGCAGCAAGGGTGACAAAGGAGAAAATGTAAGTTTCCTACTTCTTTTTGAAGAAGCATTATTCATTTAATACCTTTTACTATTTACCATGGGTATTTTTCCATAGTACTACTTACTTACCTATCCAGAGATTATAATATCAATAGTATATAATTTCTGCGGCTATATAATTCTGTGGGTTTCTTTTTTTTTTTTTTTTTCATTTCTGGGATTGAGTAAAGATGAAAAGAGTAGTATGATGTTTGTATGTCATTATTTCTAATTCCTATATTTTAAGTCCTCTATGACAAATGAACGGAACCCTGCTAGCACAGTTGTTAAACGCTGGGCTGATAATCAAAAGATCAGCAGTTCGAACCAACTAGGCACTTTGCGGGAGAAAGATGAGGTAATCTGCTTCCGTAAAGATTACAGCCTTGGAAACCTTATGAGAAGTTCTACTCTGCCCTGTAGAGTCTCTATGAGTTGGAACCGACTTAATGGCAATGAGTTTTTTAAATGACAAATGCAAGAGTAATATACTGAAATAGGCTTCTTTTCCATCTGAATGTGAGAAAGAATATTTATATAACATTACTAAATTCTACTCTATATGAATTGATAAATCTCTCATATTATAGACTCTTATTTTAAATGTTTATCTTATTATCTTATTGAATCATGAAACTCATAATAATTTCTGTTTCTCATTCAAATGACATGCTTACTCTTGCCTGTATGAGTTTTTTCTTCATTTTCTGCCAATTTACATACTTTGCAAAATATATATATATATTTGAAAACTTTCCTCCTTCTTAGATTCAAAACCTTAGATATTGATACTCTCAAAGACTTCACCTCAGCAGTTTTTTACTAATTTATATTCTTTGTAGAACATCTACAGACATTTGGGTTTTCATTTCCGTTGTTACTTTCTTTCAGTGTGTATATATTTGCTTTCTAATAGGAATATAAATTGGAAAGTATAGAGAAATGTCTATCTCTCTCTTTCTTTTTTAACCTAGCATAAAACTTTATTCATCATCCCTGGCAATTTGATTCTAATAGACTACTCTAGTTCTGTCCTGTGATCCAGCTATCATTCTGAGGCTTTTAGGATTGAAATTATTATATATTATATATTTTAGCATAACCTTGGAGAGAGGTTTTATTAGAGTTGACTGAGCACCAAACCGAATAGTTACCAAAGTCCTGTGACCTGAAAATGTGTAACTAAAAAGAAAAATCTGGAATCAAAACAGATTGCATGAAGATTATTGCATTATTTAACCAGGGATAGGCTCCTGATTTCTTTCTTCTTCTTTTTTTTTTTTTTTAATCCAGGAGATTAGATAGTTGACAAATAGTGACAACACTAATGCTATCGATCCATGCTATAAAATTATTGGTGCAGTTGGTATTGACGATGAATTTGTAAATTCTATTGTAGTCATTTACTCTTCTAGATTCAGTTCAACAATTTTTTGAAGATAAGTACATGCTGTTGGTCTAGTTGGAATATCTTATGTACTCAGCAGAAGCCATGTTTAAAAAAAAAATTATTTCCTCTTTAAAAGCTGTAATTAAACACGACTGCATGACTAGTCAAGCCAGAAATTTTTGCCTCAGGACCTCTGTACACACCTAAATTTTATTGAGGACCCCAAAAACTTTTGTCTATGTGAGTTACTCTAATCTAAATTAAAACTAAAAAATTTTAAATATTTTTGATTGATTCATTTAAAATTAACCATTATATACCCATAATATTTTCAAAGTAAAATAGCTATATTTTTCCTAAACAAAAATATTTAGGGAGAAGAGTGGCATTGTTTTATTTTTTTGTGTGTACAGCTTCATAGAAGCTGGATTCTCCTATCTACTTCTCAAGTCAATCTGTTGTGACGTCTTGATTTGGTTGAAATGAAGAAAATCCAGGCTCATCCAGACATGTAGTTGGGAAGGGGAGGAGCATTTTGATAACCTTTTCAGATAACTGTAGATATTCTTTTCCACATCAAAACTTGATAAGTGATACTTTTTCTTAAAAGTCAATTGCAGTGGAATCTGAAATCAAATCAATGAGCTTTTCATGCTATTTAAATATCATTGGTCTGTCTTGCACTTTGAAGATCTCTCTTCCTCATGCTTAATTTTGTAGCATCTTGCATTGGTCATTTGGAAATTACTGGTTACTGAGTAGGGTCTTCAAATTATTGGCACATTTATTTACCCAACATCAGTATCATTAGAATGTTCTATAAGTTTGGGAAACTGGGAAGCTTACAGCGGCAGTGCAGGTTTTCCAAAATTCTTATTTTTGCTTGAAAGTTTGTTTTATAATTGGCAATAAATACTGTCAGTTCTTTTCTTGAAGTCTCAGGCTTATTCATCTATTTTCAGTAAAACATCTGCCAAATTCCCAAGTCTAAATAATCACAATTTGTCTTGTCATTTGCTCTTCAAGTCAGAATGGTGTCCCATGAAAAAGTGGCGAGTTCAGCTCATGACTCAAACTATTGTCCAAGTGCTTTTTTCTTTTTTGGAGACAATCGTTATACTTAGATATGCAGCTGAGGCACTTTATGTGTACTTCTCATTTTGTCACATATATATTAAAAAGACATGCATTCAAGGTTAAAATTTAATAAGATTAATAATTTTAATGTTTCATTAAGGAAACTCTTAAGTGAAACAGCCATTTTCATGTAAATTGAGATTATGTGACGGTGAGGAATACAATCAATAGTATTATAGTTTGTTGCTACCGCCATGATCTGTGCTAAGTTGCCAGCGATTTACCCACGCTTGCTTTTGCATCAACAGTGCAAATGCCCATATAGTAGGAAAAGACAAATAATGTCTTAGTATTGTTATAAAAAGGAATTTTGACCTAGAGGAAACCTTGAAAAGGTCTCGTACCCCTGAGGGTCCACAGACCACACTTTTCAAAACCTTTGCATTAAGCGCTCCTTCTAACATGTTGTAGTTATGATAAAGAACAATATAGTCTGGTGATTCACTGTTCTTTGGAGCCTGGATCTTCTATAGTGCCTAATTAGTTATTGATATCAAAACTTCAAACAGTTAAGAGGAAAAATTTATGCATGAAAGGATCATAATGCCTGTTGAAAATGTATTGCTTAAAATAAGGGTCTGGTGGACTTAATATACAACACTGAGTTTACTTGTGTTTACATCTGAAGAAAATTCTACATTTTCATACCTGATGATATCCCCTTAGTGTAGAGTCCTCAGCATCCTTATGTTCATTTAGAAGCTAGTGTTTAGACTAATTTTTCATGTACTCTTTCCCACTCATTAAAGAAATCTGATAGTTAACAAATTTTCAAATATGAATCTTCAACTTGATTTATGGTAGCATAGAAATTCATTTTTAAATATCCGCATTACAATGAAAGCGCTTTCAATAAATATCAGTTTAAAACTGAATGCAAATATACAAGTGTGAGTCTCAAGGAGTAAAATAAATAATGGTTGACTGCTCTAAATGCAAAATAATTCTGAGTAATCTTTTTTTCCAAAGGCGTGTAGAGGCATTTAATAGATCTTTATCAGACAAGTGTTCTGTCTAATATAGCTGAGGCTTTTCTGGCTTCAGTTTTACAATTACTGATTTTTATCACTCCGCAGGGTCCACCCGGTCCCCCAGGTCTTCAAGGACCTGTTGGTGCCCCTGGAATTGCTGTAAGTATTCCACTTTGTTCAGCAAATATAAATCCTTACAGCTCCTTGATTAAATTTATGAACTGTTACATAACCAGACAATTTTTGTGTGCTGAAAAATTTTGTGTACACTTTCTTTGTATGCTTAACATTGAATCAAATTTATATTGTCTAATATAGTTAACCAAACTGATCCTTATAAAAAAAAAATTGTGACTTTGTTTGGAAATAGATAATAACCAGTTGAGAACTACCTTATTATGTAATAAATTCTGAACATTATTATTTCCCTATTAGACAGTTTTCACTTCACTTGGTATATGTGATAAAATCAAAATCAGTCTTACTCCAAAAGGAAAGAATGCAAGCAAGACAAAGAGTGGCCCATTGGGAGCAAATAATGGAATTTACTATACTTTTTTCTTTTTCTCAGAGATTCTAGCTTTTATTCTATTAGAAATGGGTAGATTTTTTATAATTGTATCATAAATGATTGTTCTGGTTTGTGATAATTTTTATTGCTCTTCTTTAGGGAGGTGATGGTGAGCCGGGTCCTAGAGGACAGCAAGGGATGTTTGGACAAAAAGGTGATGAAGGTGCAAGAGGTTTCCCTGGACCTCCGGGTCCCATAGGTCTTCAGGTGAGATGATCTCTTCAGTGTTTACTCTGTCGTCTTAAACTGGTTTTCTGGTGGAAATATATCAAAACATCTTTTCTGTTTTCTGTATGGGATTTGGGTATAATGTTTAACATGATGATTGTTTTACTTAAATATAAAATTGAACTTCAGCCGACTTTATTTAAATGTAAATCTGAACTTCAATGGATTTTTAGCAATTATGGAGCCCTGGTGAAGCAATGGTTAAGAGCTCAGCTGCTAACTAAAAGGTTTGCAGTTCAAATCCACCAGCTGCTCCTTGGAGACCCTGAGGGGCAGTTCTACTCTGTCCTATAGGGTCACTGTGAGTCGAAGTTGACTCAATGGCAATAAGTACAGGAATTATTATTTTTCTGAAGACGTATCAAACCTGGTTCCCAGTTATGGAGTATAGCCAGCCCAGTTCAAGTATTACACCTCCTTTTATGTTCATTCTCACTTTGTTTGGTAAATGAAATGCAACCTTACTTAAGTCTGAAACTTAAAAGTCAGAAGTTAGAATAAATTTTTCATAGGTCTAATAACCAGAAATGAGTACTTTGGATGGATAACGTAGATTAAAATATTTAAAGAAATCACAAACTGCCAACTGCAACTGCCAACAGTAAATGCCAACAGCAAATATCAAACAGTAATAGATCAAATAAGCAATAAATTAATAATAAATTGGATATTTTAAATAGCTTATTGTTTTAAAATTATAATTTGATTTCAAAAGTTAAGTTTCCTCCTTTGCTCATCCCCACGCCAAACTCTATTTCATTACTTAGCCCAAAAATAAAATTAACACTATAAAATATGGTGTTTTCTATTCCTTATTCATTAAAATAAAATGATAATACTCTATTTTCTCCTGATTAATTACATAGGAACTCAGAATTTAACTTGATTGAAAGAAACATTATTACAGAAATTATTCAGTTAATTTAATAATTGCAAATTACTAATAATTTGTTCAGTTGGAGATATCTGATTACCTATAAATGACAAAGATGATACATGATTTTGGGAAATAGTAAATACTTCTGCACAAAAATTCTGTAAAGTACAAGTTAATTGCTTAGGGCCAATATTTTTAGGCATGGCATCTTTTTATTTTTAGCAAAATCCAAAATAAAAATGATTAAAATATTTTTGTTGGAATATTTAAAGAAAAGTTGAAACATAGCAAAAATAAAGGTGATTTATTTTTGATAAAGTAATTATGAAAATATGGGTTTTTTTAATATGTTAAATATGTTTAGTGGATTATACCTGAATTAAGTCACCTATTTCCTGAAAAGTGAGTTTCCTAAAAAATAAAAATTTTAATTTGACATTATTTAATTTCTATTTAATAACCAGTTTATATGATAGTGGAATTCTCATTTATCTAAAATATTTGATCATAAAAACATAGTTAAATAAATTTTGGGTAAATAACTTAATGCAATATTATGGAACTATTAATATAACCAGTTTATATTATGAACATTCAAGAAAGGAAGTAACATAAAGAAAAAGACTGTAGGCTAAGAAATTTTTCTTCAAATGTATCTTGCAACTGGACTGTTGGGTGAAACATATCATTGTAGACATTACTTATTCTGAGAGTTTTTTTCCACCCTCTCATTTGATACTCACTGGTTCCTACATACTTTGGAAAAATCTGGCTTTCTTCTTCTGCTTACTTATTTTATACCTACCTAGTGATCCTTTAAAAGAGTACAAAATTTAATTTTAAATGATACGTGAGTACCATATGGATTTATTACTTACACCACATTATAAATTTAAGAAATGCTTAAGTCATCTGGTTCACTGTACCTAAAAGTTGTGAAGTTGTAAAATAGTACATACAACCTACATTTATATACATTTAACATTTGTTCTTATTTTCACAAGTAAAATAAAAAAGTATTGATTTTTGATATGAAATAATTTAATTATATACATAATTATACAAATTATATTGTAAACACAGTATATTCCATTATATTTTCATGATTATTGTTGTTAAAATACCCAGTTGATGTTGGCCAGTGAATATGATGTTCTGAAATTTTGGTTTTATTTATTTTTTTTTATATTTTATTGTACTTCAGGTGAAGGCTTACAGAACAAATAGTTTCTCATGAAACAGTAGTACACATGTTGTTTTATGACATTGGTTAACAACCCCACAACATTTTAACCCTCTAAATTCTCAACCTTTTGCTTTTATTTTAATATCAAAATAAACTTGGAAAGTGCAAAAAGTTCACATTCATATTTATTTTAAGTCTATACTTGTTAGACAATAAGAAATAAACAACCATGAACACTACATTATCAGTATGTGTGGGAAGCACACATGTTTGAAAACAAGGCTTTGAAAAATAGACAGCCAATGCCTATGTTACCTTTCCTTTTCTGCTTTTTCATTTAATTGATTGCTTTGAATCCTATAAGTTTGGAGTAATTTAGGAACTTAGCTCTCATGATTAAAGAAGGTGCCTTGTAGCTTATATTTATAAAATATTCAACAAGAAATTATCTTCATTTCTACCCTTTGATGAGGGTAACTCAAGAAATCAGTTCATTAAAAAGAAAATTGATTATATTTGCCCACAACCACCTCTTTAAATCAGGAATGTGAAAAGATGCTAATGTAATTAACATGTTCACAATTGCATTTGCATCCTTTAATTGAGTCTTCATGGCAGAATAGATGTTAGCAATTATAATAGACATAAATAATAATAATCCAATATTCAGATTAAATTACTTGATTTTTAACTTAAGATTTACTGTTTGAATATGACGAGTGATATGCAAAGAGAGCTCTTAGCCTAAATTCATATTTTTTTTCTTTTCTGATGCGTCACTTAGGTGGCAAATTATTTTGAGTTGAAAGACTTTAAAACAGAATCTCTCCACACATAAATTACTCCCAAGGAGAAAGTTAGGCTATATGAAAACTGATTAACACTGGAGTGCCATTTAGCACATTTAGTTCCCTGCAACAAGATAATTTGCCTCATTATGTCTCTATTAATTTTAATAATGAGAACTTTCTGTCTTAATCAACTCAAGCTATAATCAAATTTCATCAAAAAGAAATAAATATTTCATTTTTTTCTATTGGGAGGTTGCTACTGCACTAATATTAAGAATAATCATATGTATAAAAAGGAAAAGACAGCAATACAGAACTGGACTTTTAATAGAAATTAAAAAAAACTAGGATCTGATATTGATATTCCATTCAGTTTGGAGATTCTAAATCAGATGCACTCTATAGTAAAAGGACATGAAACCTGGACAAAAGATAAGGAATGGGATTGCTAATTTATATGATGTTTATAAGAACTTAATTATGTTTCAGTTGCAATGCCTACTCTTCAGGGAAATAGTGTTAAAGTGAAATCTTTATTTCATCTGTGTTAAAATATATTTGAATATTTAAGAATTTTAAGTCCTTTGCTTCAGTGAATTTGAGTCTCTGAAGTTGAGGACCTTGGGAGCATAAAATGCTAACAATCTCCCCTGGTGATTTTTAGGTAGACTAAAATCTGAGAAACATTGCCTTGTTATTTCCCAGGAATTGCACTTGTAATTCCAGCATCTACCATCAGATGATGATAACAGCTTGGAAAGTATCTACATAGCAGGCTCCTAGACACCTAAATTATGTTTGGTGAAAAAACAGGAAATCTTGATATATGTGGTCCATTATAAATCAGTAGTTAGGAATTCATCATAAAAATGAATACATGCCATATCCAAAAAAAAAGTTCACAAATACACTCAGTATAGCACTGTCTTCCCAGCCTGAGGGTCATGTCTAATTAATAGGTCAGAAAATAATGTGTGTTATTAACGGTATTAAAAACATGAAATAAATCAAGATAAAGTAAAATAGATTGAAAATATCAAAAGGCATCATCTATGCAATATGAATAAGTATTACTTTGTGAAACTCACATTTCAGCTACTTTACCTGTCCATGCTTAGAGGGTAATAAGTAAAATGTATTTATTACTGTGGATCATGACCAAATAATTTGCAGCCCCTGCAGTGCTGTGCCAGGAAATCAATAATTTTAGTAAAGCACCAACAGAACTTTAGAGCTATTGTATTATTTGTAGTTTTTTTACTAAGTAGATTACATCTGAAATACTATTGTACAAACATTAAAGATAAAATATGTATAGAGTATATAAGATGTATATAAATGATTATAACACTGAAAACTATTAAAATAAAATAATAATCCTACCATATTAAAAACTATTTCACTTTTACTATTTCTGTCCAACAATTATTACACATATTTTATATGCGTATTTGCAGTTAAATTCATTCCATGCATATCCATTTGCATTTGGATTGTATTTCTTACCATAAACACTACCCATATTTGGAGTATTAATAAATTTCATATTAATAGTTCCATAATATCACATTAAGTTATTTAACCAAAATTTATTTAACTATGTTTTTTATGATTAAATATTTGAGATAAATGAGAATTCCACTATTATAACTATTGTTACAGTAAACAATTTTTTTACAGGTAGCTTTTCATGTTATTTATTTTCTTAGGATTCATTCATTCTTCATTCATTCAACATTTTACTGAGTTCCTGATTTTTGCCTTGCCCTATGCTCTTTGCTAGAGATACAAAATTGACACCTAAAGGGCCACTGCCCCAGAGTAGCTCATGATTATAAACATATAAACGAGTGGCATAATGGTGCTTATTAAATATATAATTCAAATAAGTGCAATGTATTGTGTGACATGAAGGAGGAAATGTGAACAGTTCTGCATAGGGGAACTAGTTAGGGAGATCAAATAAATGATCAGTAGGATATGGGATGAATAGTAACTAACACATAGTTAACATAATTTCCTCGTAAAAAAACAAACCAAACCCGTTGCTGTCAAGTCGATTCCGACTCATAGTGACCCTATAGGACAGAGTACAACTGTCACATGGGGCTTCCAAGAGCAGCTGGTGGATTCAAATTGCGAACCTTTTGCTTAGCAGCCGTAGCTCTTAACAACTGCGCCACCAGGACTTCAATTTCCCCATAAAGACACAGGTAAAATTTGAGCATAACCTGATCTGTCTGACTTTATATTGTAACACAGAACCTCTCCTAAAACAATTAGAGTGCAACAGGATAGAATGGAAATGGGTTTGAAAGAACGAAGGAAGTATAATTGACAGGTCGCCCAGCCTTGTAAATTTTTAAGATTCAGAAGTGGAATTAGCAGGTCAGAAATTCAGAAGACACTTATGACTCTGGAAACTAATTGGGATATTTATTTTCAAAAGAGATTTTCCATACTGGCACCTAATTATTAAAAAAAACAGAAGAAGAAGAAAAAAATCCCCTGGTTAGGATGTTTAAAATAACTGGAGACAAGACTTCAGAAAATCTTTGCCATCACTGTCCTATATGCTGCTTATAAAATATTTAGAAAATTATTAGGTGTTCATAAATTCTCAAATCAAATTATGTATTTACTTATAGTGGCCAAAATCAATCAACATAATATTATGCAAAACATAACTTTTATTTGTAAATTCATATATGACTTTTATCATTTGTAGGCAGAACATGTATTATAAGTATTTTTTAAAAATTTTTTCTAAATGTTTATTCCACATTCTTATTTAACTTTATATTCAATTTTTTGTATTATATTAGAAATTGACTAAAAGTATGTTTTAAATACATATTTTATTGTTTTTCTATTATATTTCCTTAGGGTTTGCCAGGCCCACCTGGTGAAAAAGGTGAAAATGGGGATGTTGGTCCCATGGTAAGTTTGTATTTTCTAGCGTTTGATGGGTAGTGCGCATTTCCATATTACTCATATCTTTCTTAAGGTTTATTATATGAACAAAGTAGCCCAATGGCTATGACACTTTCCTGACTGACACCCTCACCTTCTACCCAGCCACCATCTGCAACCATTGAAGTCTCTCCCATCACCTTGAATATATGTATTGTGTAACATGAGGGATGACATATAAACAGTTCTGCATGGGGGAACTAGTTAGGGAGATCAAATAAATAGTAAGAAGTAAGATAATTTCCCCATGGAGACACAATCAGGTAAAATTTGAGCATAACCTGATCTATCTGACATTACATTACAACACAGAACATCTTTTTTCTTTCTCACTGTGGACTTATGCACATGTACAGCATCCATTGGTTTGTCTATTATATGCTTTTTCATTTCTATGTGTATATGTTACTGAGGTGTATATAATCAACTCTCACACATTAGTTATTTCTTAGTCCTTAGCTCCCAACTTTGCTGTGGATCAGGTAAATAGATAATATTCACTCAGTATTTAGATAATTAGCAAATGTTGTAACACATTATTAAAAATTAATTGATGTACTTTGAAATACATTCTTAGTTTAATGAGGAATTCTGTCTTAATTAGAATGTTGTGACATCTATGACTTATAATTATTTGCATTTATTGATTTAGATTTCTGCTCTAATGGTAAGACTAATACCTCAGCTGAAAATTGAAATACATATATTTGTTTATGAAGCATTACCTTAGATAAGGAAATAATTAGCCAAAGTAATTGAAATCTAAAAAATGTATGAATAAATTTCCTAATCGATCCTTTCTTTTAATAATCATTGTCTCCAGTTTTTCTTCCTTCAGAATACATATTCAGATAGTTTTTACACTTCCATGTTAGATTTTATTCTCTTCAAGGACCACATCCAAATCTATTAAATTCTTTGAAATAATTCTTATAATCACAATAATACTTAAAAACAAGGAAATCATAATAAACCTTGCTGATTGAAATAATTGATTCATACTTCCAAACAGCATAGATACATACCAAGCTCCTGTCTATATATGATTGCTGTGGTTCCCTGAATCACTGATATGTTCTCCCTGGACTTACAGTAATAGCTAGTAGCAGAGAAGCTTTCCAACCATAGCATAAAATTAGAATAAACTGTGACCTTTAAAACAATACTAATGGTCTGGTAGTCCCTGAACGTTGATTTAATCAGAACCTCGAGGTAGGGGTTCTGGCCATCAGTATTTTATAAAAAATCCCCCAAGTAATTTCAATGCACAAATGGGGAGATAATCTTTGTTTTAGGAAGATTACTAAATAGTTATTCTTATTTCAATACCTATCATATTGAACATGACAGTGGACCCTAAAAACAAAAATACAAATAAAAAATGAAACATTTTGATTGAGTTAATGAATTCTAAATCTACTCAAGCACTGTTTCTCGTTCCAACTTCATGTTCCCTTTATAGTCTATAAAAATATTTCTCATTGTATCATGAGTACTTTGTTCCAGACAGTCATAGAAGACTTTCTTGGCCTCTTTTCAAATCAAAAGTCCCTCAGTTCCCTGTAGCTATGTATAAAGGATCATTTGCTAACATGATGTTGTTATGTTAGTGTTTGATGGATAGTGTGTATTTCCATATTACGTATATCTTTCTTCGGGTTTATTAATATGAACAAAGTAGCCCTAAAGGCTATGACACTTTCCTGATTGACACCCCCACCTTTCACCCAGCCACCATTTGCAGCCGTTGAAGTCTCACCCGTCACCTTGAATATATGTGACCTTTAAAACAAGAATAACTTATAATCCTGATATGCTACACTGACAATGATTTTGCAGGCTTAAACTTCTTTTACTATTCCTCATCACAAAATGAAAATGTTACAAGTGCATTGGAGCTTGGTCTTCATAAACCTTAATATTTGTCTTTTACAGGGTCCACCTGGCCCTCCAGGCCCAAGAGGCCCTCAAGGTCCCAATGGAGCTGATGTAAGAACTGTGAAAATTATTTCTATTATGTGGAAGTTATGTAGGCCTCAGTATAGTTTAATCAAGAGGTGTCTGAGATCCAATGGAGATAATTAGTCAATTTCAGAGATTTTAGGAAGATTCCTAAATAGTTATGTTTATTTCCAATTCCAGCACATCGAACATGGCAGTTGACCCTACTTCTTACTGGGAAAGAAACGGGCTTTATATACAACAGGTTACCACAGATATAAAATATATACACAGTTCATATTCAATATATATTTTTTGATGAGTGATAAGTATAACCTACATTATAGTAAACCACCTTGTACAGATCAGCATGCTTAAACTGTGCTTTGCAAATAATTATTTGATGAATGGTTACTGAATTGTTTCAGATTTAACCTGTATAGCTGACAATGGCATAAGGAAAAAGTTTATAATTGACTTTGACTGTATTAGTCTAGGTCTGTACTCCAAATATCCTTTACAAATAGATCTGTCACCAGTGGCTTTCACCATAAAGCTACACCTTTTATAATTTAAATCTATACAATATGTTAGAACCTTATGTGTATGATAAGTACACCTCTTACAATGCTAAATGTGTCCTTTCAATTATGTAAAGATTATTTCCCTCAAGCTTTAAAATAGACTGACCGTTCTAACATTATAGAGTTTAAAAATGCAATATCGT